AGAGTTCCTAATTCTGAGTGCACATTTCACTCTGTTTAGAAAGAGTTCAACCCCATTATTAGCACTGCACAAACTCTAACTTTTCTTCTCTTTTGTAGCTGTACCTATGTGGTACTCTGTTTGAGTTTTGCAGCCACTCCTTACTTGCTGATAAACAGATTGTGTAGTTTCTTGAAATAGCCTGTGTAGCCATGTTGGAAAGCAATTTGCATGTTCTTTTTGCATTTCTCAGTTGTCTGAATGTATGGTGGTGTTCAGTGCAACAAAGTTGGCTTTACACAACCTTGGTTGATGTAAAAGGTTTTGTTTTTTGTTTTTTAAAAAAACAACCTAATTTTCTAATTAATAATTTTTGCATCTTTGAAACTTTGTCTCTATTTTCAAATTTTAGCTAGTATCAAATTACTGATGACAATGTCCCATCAATAAATTTGTTTGCTTTTCTTTCCAACACCTAAGATATTGAGGATGATATGAGTGTTCTATATTAAGGGATTTAACATTTAAAGAGCATGTTTGCATAACAGAAGTGAGTTCACAACATGGTCATTGCTCTTTTTAATTACAAGCCAATGTGAGCTTAATGAGGTTTTAATGTACCTTTACAAGTGAAAGCTCAAAAATAACTCGTGCTGCAGTCATGGGTGAGATTAAGAGTCAGGTGGGTTGTTCTGTTTTCAGTTGCATAGGTCTTCACATGGTTGCTCCAGTTACAGGTAAATATCTGGGCGTAAATACTTGAAATATTAACTGGTTGATCAGTAAACCTACAATGAGATGATCGAGCCACGTAGGTAATCAAATCAAACCATGTTTGTAATTCCCCCTTTCTATATCATTTTCCAGGGACAAAGGTTCAGGTCAAGGTAATCTCTTCTAGGGATGTAACTATTGCCCAAAACAGTTAACCAATTCAATGATTACAATTATATCATGTAACCAGTTAACCATTGATGGTCTAGCACAGGGCAGTCAAGGCTGTGGTCCCATTATGTAGCAGGTACCGCTCCAGGTCTGCCCGCCCACAGGTAACTCTGGTGTGCCATTGGCATGACTGCAGCTGGGATCCTGCCTGCCCATTGGGAACTCTGGTATGGCCACAGTCGTGGTCTCACCTGCCTGCTCCAGCACTGTCACATGGTAAATGGAGAGTTTCTGAGAATAAAATGGAAGAATAACGCTTATTTTGAAAGGAGAAAAACTCATGCTATTTTTATATCACAATTTTTTTTTTATTTAAAGATCCAAAGCACCATCAAGGTTACTTTCTTTACCACTTATGTTTGTCACTGTAGAACAATGATGAGATGTATGTGTCAGTTGAGTATTAATAACTGTTGACCTCTCTATAAGGACCCCAAATCATGCCCAAGATGGTGTGTTAGTTTTTAGCCCAACGTATAACTGTCCCGATGCTTCCAGGGAAATCAGTATTGTGTGTACAGCTGTAACAATAAAATTGACATTATGAATATTCATGTATCTTTCACTGCTCAAAAGACATGTTGAAGCATCCTTCTGTCCTGCAGCTACATAATCATGCCACAACTACGCTCTGGGAATTTTCTTGAGTGAGAGCGGGGGAGGAAAGGGAGAGAACCACAAACCATCAATCAGTTTTCACATCTTGAATTTGGGGTTGAAAAGTGTTTGTTTTAAAAAGTAGAAACAAGCCCGAAGGATTGTTGTTGCCATAGACTATTTAACTTAAAAAAAAAAATGCTGTCTTGACATAGCCATGCTCACGGTGTTAGAATGTCTAACCCTTATTTAGGTGGTAATTGAAGAATTTCTTCTGGTAATTATTTCACCATGTTTCTTGCTGCTATCCTTGTTCACCAGAGGTGGCTGTGGACTAGTATCTTTCTGTAGAGATTTAGAATGTCACTTGAATAAGATGCTTTGGAAAGGAAGGCTGGCCTGATTGTCAAGGTGTAAGACAGGACTTAGAGAACCTGGGTTGTGTTTTCAGTTCTGCCACAGGCTTCCTGTATGGCCGTGGCAAGTCACGTCATCAGGCTTGAGGAGAGTGCTAGGTTTCTGCCTCCACCTCCTCTCCTATCTTTCTGTAGAGATTTAGAATGTCACTTGAATAAGATGCTTTGGAAAGGAAGGCTGGCCTGATTGTCAAGGTGTAAGACAGGACTTAGAGAACCTGGGTTGTGTTTTCAGTTCTGCCACAGGCTTCCTGTATGGCCGTGGCAAGTCACGTCATCAGGCTTGAGGAGAGTGCTAGGTTTCTGCCTCCACCTCCTCTCCTGGTGCAGATGGGATTTCCTAAATTCCAGCCAATTACTCCCTCCTCATCTCCCCAAACACTCCACTTATTCCCTCCTTATCTCTCCTCCCCCTCTCCTTATCTTTCCTCCCTACCTGCTCTCTGAGTTCTTCCATTTCAAGCAAGCAGCTCCTTTTTTAAGCTGCTGCTCAGGAAGACGCCCCTCCCCCAGCCACTCAATGAGCTTCTTGGTAGAGCTCATTAAACAGCTGCACAGCTTACAGGGAACCTAGGTCCTGTGGCTCCTTAGAAACTAACCAAAATATCATGAGCTTTCATGGCTAAAAACCCACCTCATCAGATTAATTTCAAATGGAAATAAAAGAAGCCAAGCTATATATAAACAGCAGAAGAAATACCTGACAATTGTAGGACCTGGGTTAATGAGGCTAATTAAGTGGGCTGGTTGTGTCAATACATAGCTTTCGATGTGGAAATGCAGATATTAAAGACAGAAGAAATTGGCTTTGAAATGTGCCAACCAGTTGATGTCTTTTTTTTTTTTCAAGCCCAGGGTAACAGTGTCAAATCTGTAGATGAATTCCAGTTCTGCAGACTCTCTCTATAATTGGTTAGTGACATTCCTTTGTAGAAGAATGGCTACTTTTAAATCCATGATTGAGTGACCGGGCGGGTTAAAATGTTCCCCTGTGATTTATGTGTGTTACCATTTCTGATGTCTGATTTGTGTCCCTTTATCATAGAGACTGTCCAGTTTGGCCAATATACATGGCAGAGGGGCATTGCTGGCACTTGCTGGCATATATCACATTAGAGGATGTGCAGTTGTATGGTTTCCTGATATTGTGGCTTATGTGGTTAAGTCCTGTGATGGTATCACTTGTTTAGTTATGTGGGCAGAGTTTGTTGCAAGGGTAGGTTCCTGGGTGAGTGTATCTGAGGTGTGATGTGTGGCTGCTGGAAAGGATTTTCTTCAGGTTGGGTGGCTGTCTGTAGGCGAGGACTGGCCTGTCTCTCAAGACCTGTGAGTGTGAGGGATCATTTTCCAGGATAGGTTGTAGATGGTTAATGATGCGCTGGAGGGGTTTATGGTGAGGGCTGTCAGTGATAACCAGTGGTGTTCTGTTTTCCTTGTTGGGCTTATCTTGAAGTAGTTGACTTCTGGGTACCTGTCTGGCTCTGTTTTACGCATTCCTGATAAAGATCTTGTAGGTGTTTGTCTCTGTCTGTGAGACTGGAGCAAATCCGATTGTATCTTGGGGCTTGGCAAGATACTGTTATTTACTCTTGTTTTTCCCCCAATTCATCCTTAAGATGAATGATGCAAGAAAATTCCTTCCATCAGCTGAGTCTGCAGCTCCGAACACAAGGGGGAAAGAATAAAATCCTGTAATAAGAAGGAATTATATCTTTTATGTGGCTTGGATAGGCCCATTAATAGCTATTATCCAGGATGGCCAGGAATGGTGTCCCTAGTCTGTTTGTTACGAGCTGGGAATGGGTGACAAAGGATGGGACACTTAGGGTATGTCTAGACTACGTGCCTCTGCCGATGGAAGCATGTAAATTAGACATACCGACATAGTCGTCAATGAAGCGGGGATTTAAATATCCCCCGCTTCATTAGAATAAAAATGGCCACCGTGTTGTACCATCTCAGCTGTTTGTCGGCACAAACCGGCAGTCAAGACTGGGATCGGTCGACGAGGAAAGCCTTTGCTGACCGATCCCTTATGCCTTGTGAAATGAGGTTTACAGGCTCGGTCGGCAAAGGCTTTCCTCGTCGACCAATCCCCGTCTTGACTGCCACTTTGTGCTGACAAACAGCTGAGCCGGAACAACGTGGCGGCCATTTTTATTCTAATGAAGCGGGGGATATTTAAATCCTCTTGACTGCCGGTTTGTGCCAACAAATTGTGCCAACAAATAGCTGAGATGGCACAGCGCGGCAGCCATTTTTATTCTAATGAAGCGGGGGATATTTAAATCCCCGCTTCACTGACAACTGTCGGTATGTCTAATTTACATGCTTCTGTCAGCAGAGGCATGTAGTCTAGACATACCCTTGATGATTATCTGTTTTATCCATTCCCTCTGCAACACCTGACATTGGCCAATGTTGGCAGACAGGATACTGGGCTAGATAGACCTTTGGTCTGACCCAGTATGGCCGTTCTTCTGTTCTTGGATCCTGGGAGTGTAGTGTAAGGATTATGAGGTGTAGTCAAAAGATCTCCAGAAATTAGACAGAGTTAGCCCTAAAGGTCCCATAGAGCTTACTTATTATTGAAGCATCCATAATTATTTGAAATCTGAATATGGAAACTCCTTTGTGGTTACATATGTTCACTTGCTTTAACCTTGTAACTGTCATTTCTTTTTCTTATACTGTATAATAAATCTTTAGATACTTTATTATAGGTTTGGTTAAAAGTGTTGTCTTCGGTGTGGGAGGTAAAGTGCAGTTGACATTGGGTAAATGACTGGTTCTTTGGGGCTGAAGTGACCAGAATAGTGCTGTGATACTTGGTGTAAGGGACTGTCACAAAGGTAGACTCACCTGGGTAGCAAGGCAGGTCAGTGTACCCACAGGGAATGTCTGTGACTGTATGTTAAGGCAATTGTAGAGCCTGAGGAGTTTGCACTTGAATAACTGATTTGTGACCTCTAAGTATAGAACTCTCAGCCATTGAACTAGTGCAGGTCAGCTTGACACCTTCATTGTGATTATACTTGACTTAAATGCAATTTTATTTTTTAGGAAACAGACTACTACCCTGCCATCCCCTTGTGAGTGGAACTGGGAGCACAGCTGTACTTCAAGCCCAAAATACTTGACTGGAAATAGACAGAGTGTGTCAAAAAGCAACATTCCTCACCAGGTACAGTTAATTTCTTCCTGACCTTATGGATCTGTTATCAGCCTGAAATCTGTAAAATCAATGTAAAATCACTAATTATTGCATCTTAAAGCATTAGACAAAATATTTATCAGGCTGTGTTCTTCAGCTGGTCATGCAGTGATCTGATGCAATTCTATTGGAATTCCTATATAACTTAGGACCAGTAGATACATGCATACACTAAAATTTAGTAGTTCATAACATAGGCTCTTTGAAGTAGAGATCTTGTCTGCAAAACAGAGTGTTTTGTCAGTGCCAAGTAAATGATGATGCACTAGGTTGGAGTAGTTCATCAGTTAGCTAATGTTTTGCTCCTAAAATATGTAAGTACAGTAAAACTCCAATAGTCTGGCATCCAGTTGTCCAGCATCAACTGGAACCCGGAACTGCTCAGGTCAGCCACGCTCACAGCCGGGCCGCTGTGAGCCGTATGCGCGCTCACGGTCCCCAGCACACACAGCATCCAGCCTGCATGTGCTAGCAGCCAGCCGCTGAGCACAGGCAGCTGCTTTGGGACCCTGACATAAGGTTGGGGGAGAAGGGGGATTGGGTGATAGCAGGGAGGGTAGGTGTTTGGCTCTGAAGAAGGGAAGGGGGATTGGGTTGCTCATTGAAAAGCCGGCTGCTCAGTGCATGTGCCCCAGCGCCTGGAGGGAGATGCGCAGCTGTACCGGCGGCTCAGGGACCCAAGCATAAAGTGGGAGGGATGAGGATTGGGTTGGGAGTATGCCCCCTTGTGGTATCTCCTGGTACTCAGGCATATTTGATAATCCAGCACTCCCAAAGGTGCCGGATTATCGGAAGTCTACTGTACTTGTTTAGTTTCATTTGTATTAAACGTAAGTATTTGGTGTGTGTGTGTGTGTGTGTGTGTGTGTGTGTGTAGAGCAAAAATACATTATTTTAAACTAACCACACAGGGCAAAACAATTGTGAATTACAGTAAAACTCTAATAGTCCGGCACGCCTGATAATCCGGCATCAAAATGGCAAGAGCCCAGTGAATGAGCTTTGGCAAAAAATGAGTCAGAAGGTAATAGCGGCAGCAGCTGAACTGAGCAAAAAGGGTAAAAAAGACTTTAAAAAACTAAAACATTACAGTATACTGTATACAGTATGTACAATAAAAAGGGTTAAGAACACTTTATATACAGTATATAATGTATACAGTGTGTGTGTATATATAACCATCTTATAGTACCTCCTGATAGTCCGGCATATCTGATAATCCGGCACCCACCTAGGTCCCATAGGTTCCAGATTATCGGAAGTCTACTGTACTCAGTTACAGAGTCACGTTGTGCATAGAATACCTAGAATGAGCACAGTGCTATATATATATTTTTATAGTGCATCATTAAAGGAAATACATCTGTTAGGCATCTTAGAAAATTTTGCATTTGAAGCACAGTCTCAGGTGCATTTGATGAGAACATTAACTATATGTGTAATTTTGTTCTATGTGGAATAAACCGAAGGTAACTTGAAAGGAACATAGGAATAATTATATTTTACTATATGAGCATGATACAAGTTAGCTTTCACTTTGATACATCTAAGATATTGCTCAGATTCTGTGGATGTCTTTTACTTGTGATAGGCTGCAAGAATTTGTTGGACAATGTATCTGACAAACTGTTAATCAAAGCTAGTTTAATATTCTAGAAGCAAGAATATATAGTGCTAAGTGAGTCTCTTCCTGAACACTACAATTAGGCATATGAGGTTGAGAACCCTATCTGGCATGACTTTTATTATGAAAAATGTATTTGCTTTGCTTACACTGAGGAAACTAACATAAGGATAACCACAAGTTCTAAGAGTGGTTCTGCACGACTTCTGTTTGTCAACATGCCCAATATGGACATACTGAGAACCTGGAAACTTGTGCTGCCTTCCAATCTTGAGTCTTACATGAACCACTAAAGGACTTCAATCCAGTTGTGTTGAGATATTCCTGCTTTCTGTTTTGTGGCAAGATTTGATATCTTGGACTTTAGACCATATGAAATTAGAATCTGTTTTGTTTAAATGGCTTATGGAGTCAATGGAAGAAGTACACTGAGTCCAGTGGTAATGGTCAGGAAAGCCCTTCTCTCAGGGAGTCTACTGGTGGGAGTCCACTGTAGAAGAAGAACCAGTGACCAGATTGTTTTGTTTGCTGGCACACTCGTGAAAGTGCATCCACCCACTGGTGTCTGATACACATTTGGGCTTTCAGCAATTCAAATGAACTGGTGATCATAAGGGAAGAGTGGTTTATGTTTACAATCCTAGCAAGGACTAAGACAGAGCTCTGAGTATGAAAAGGTTGAAGCAACACCTGAAGAGGTGCTCCAACACTGCTCCAGAGAAGACAATTTTATCCTGGGCAGTATTACCTCTGAGGGGGAAGGGCAGGCAATATTTCCTTGCCTCCCTGTTTTGGGAGTTCTGCAGGGATAGGTGCCAATGCAATGTACACACTGTGCTTTGGAGAGAATAGCAACAGGGATGTGTTGAATCAGCAGAGGGTGAAGTGATGTGACCCAGCAAATAAGGAGGGAGAGTTGTGAAGGTTGACTTATGCTGTCAAGGAATTATTTGGTTAAAGAACTTCTGAAGCCTGATACATACTAAAAATAAATTCTATCGTATACTTTCAGTATTTTTCACCACTTGCCCTTGATAAATATGGTAGTCTCCAAGAAAGTTGGGTCTTTCTTTCCTTGTGATGCGTCTGTTTATGGCCTAAATATTTATTATTTTGAAAAATATTTGTAATAATAGTGGAACATGACTTCTTCAGCTCCTATTGCTATTTCTGTCACTTGAACTATTAAGATCCGCAAATCCTAATTTTCATATAAATATGAAGAATCAAGAACTGTGGGAAGAAATGAAGAATACATTAGATGCACAATGGAACAGAAGCATTTTTTAAACAGAATGTTTTCAGGTCATCTTTTCTAAAATAGTCCAGGGGAGTTTTGCCTGTGAAGTGAATGCTGAAAAGAGCCCCTTTTTAATGAGGTTCTGCAGAGAGCACAGCATATATTAATTATGGCTTTGCAATTGCTCCTCTTTTTGTTCAGAATTTTTAATAGTACACTTTATTTAACAATAGTAATATCAAGCTTTTAGCTTAATCACTTTATATCAAAGCTATAAAAGAGGTCAGTATTATCAGCCTCATTTTAAGATGGGGAAACTGAGGCACAAAGTGGTCCTCTAGAAGGTCAGGGGCAGTGTGAGGGGTAGAATCCAGGTCTCTACCAGTTTAGTGCTCTGTCCAGAAGACCAAAGACGACAAACTTTTTTCCCCCAAGGCCCAAATTTCTTAGTCAAGGTAAAGTTAAGGGCTAGACTCCAGAGAAAGTAATTTAAAAAGAACAACAATAATGATGATCATAAATAAATAAAAAGGTCTGGGGTCTGTTCAAAAGCATTTGGTAGTCCGGATTTGGCCCATGATCCACCTATTGCACAGCAAACTCTACTGCCTCTCCCATTTGCTAAGATTCAGGATGCTGTTGGATATATTTTGACATTATACAGTAGGTGAAAATCTATTCAGGGTAAACAGTTTCTACTGTGTTTGTGCATTTCATCTGTCTTTTCAGTCAGTTAGCTTCTTCCTTCTTACAAAGATACAGTGCTACGTGCTTTGTGGTCTCGAGATGTTTTGCATTTTTTCTTAGCATAAGAAAATTCTGGTCCCACTGCTTAAAAAACTCTATGCAAACAAAGTGGCCAAACTGACGCTATATGTGACGGATTTCGTATCTTGCTCTTTAAAGTATAATGTTCTTCTTAATATAGTGATCTGTCCATAGGGCGGGAGGTTAATCTAATGTGTCACGGTGGCTGAAATATTTTTTCATTTTGTGAACTGTAAGCCAGTGCCAGTCATAATTCATCTTAAAGCTTAACATACTTCCTCACTCTGAGCTTACATTAATCACAAATACTTTAAACATTTTCAGTTCCATTTGTGTTGTACCTCTACACTGAAAAAGAATAATCTGCTTTTCCCTAAAGAGTTGAAAATATGTAGATATTTGATGGTGGTTCTTTTGTAGTCATAGAAGCCAGACTGGGGTTAGCCACAAATGCCCTATGCAGTTCGAGAGCGACTGTTATCCCATTGGGACAACAGATTATGCTGTGTGATGCTCTAGTTTGACATGAACGGTATCAAATGTTCGCTGGGACCTGTAATCTCTGCTGGCTGCATCTCTGCATTTAGTTGAGTGCAGCTGCACTATGCTGGTCTTGTAGCTTGTATGTTGCACCTGTTTGAGTATTCCTGCTTTTCTAAGTCCCCAAGCAGTGCTGAAAGTTCATTCCATTGTATGTCCTTTGCACCTTCCCAAGTAGATATAAAGATGTTAATAAACCCATCGCTTTCGAACATTAGGCCTAGACAAACTGTTTTATGTAAAATTTGGAATGCTGTTTGTCATGCTTGTAAAAGCTGTGATGTGGGGGGGACGGATGAGGGCTTAACAGCACGGCATTCTTTAAAACAATAATTGATAGCACCTTTCATCAGAGAATCTTGAACGATTTTACTGTGATATGTGTTAACACCCTTTTATGGATTGAGGAAATTGGGAGATACAATTGACATGTCCAGTTGTATAGGAAGCTATGGAAGACTTGGGAATAGACTCCAGATCTTCTGGGCTAAAATTTATTATTATTAATTATTTAGGTGCCCGAAAAAGTGTTCTAATTCTCACAAGTGCTGAGTGTCCAGCTGTGACAGATCACATCCTTATGCACTATTGTAATAATCCTTGTACAAATATGCCATGTAAGGTGTCATTCGAAAACTCAGGAATTGCTGGTCAATATCCTCCTGGTAAATGTGTGTGTCAACGTAGTATATGAAATTTATAATATTCCCCTGTATAGTGTTGTTAATAAATGTTTCAAACCCACAGCTCTGTCTGAGCAGATGTTGGCAAACAGGTGTCCTATATATCCGCTCCCTG